CTGGGTGGGGCCTGTCGCTGGGGACGGGAGTTGGAAGCACTCCCATCCTGGCCACGAAAGAGCTGCCTGTCGTAAAAGGATTGATTCCAACCTTCCTGCTTTTGAGTGGCTGGTTGCAGAACCTTCCTCTTATCCTTGGACTCTACCAGAAGGGGTTCTAATGGAGGACCAAAGAGAAGGGATGAAGAGTAGGAAGAGGAGGCAAGTCTCCACTTGGCCTGTGCTTCTTCCTGCCACTGTTTTAGCCAGAGAAGCCGGTGGGTGGAGATGAAAGATGCAATGGCTTTGGACGCAAAATGGGCTGCATCCAAGAGTCATCTGCAGTGTATTCTAGGACCGCCTTAATCTTGTTAATGTCCCTGCGAGCCCTAGAATCCCTGGCTGGAAGGCGAGCTTGGAGTTGTCTCAGCCACAGAAGAGCGGAGCGACTAAAGAAGGAAGCGGAGGTGCCCGCTCTAATGCCCAAGCTGAAGCCTAGTGACCCTTGACCAGAATTTGTTGTATTCTCGTTTTCAGGTCGCAGGTCTTCATGTCTTCAGCTTCAGAGCCGCTCAGGCCACGTTGGGAGAAGAGAAGGCAATTATAGACAAATCAATAGACGTACCTCTAAAACCTTGGCAAGGTCAGGAGCGACATTGTACAGGCGCTTTTCCGAGGCATTGGGAGGGTTCCGGTACCTGGAGAAGCCCATTGATTCTGGACAACGTCTATGAAGAACCGTGGTGATGGGATCACCTCCTTTTCCACCATAGGCTGGATGAAGAGCAGGTCAGTGGTGTCAGCCTTGTCTGCTTCCGAACTCTGAGTTGCCTTTGGAGATGGAATGCCTGCAATTTTCTTGGCCTTAAAAAGGAGAGAACGAAAAACAGCAGGTTTAAACAAGCCAACAAAGGGAGGTGGATTGGGAGGAAGACCCTCATCCTCCGAGAGATCTGAGTCTCTTGCAGGGCGTTCCTCTTCCCCAAAGACCGACGGTTGGTTGGAAGTGCTGGGTAGCTCATGCGACGAAGAAGCCTGGAACTAGAGGAAGAAGCAGAACAATTAGAAGACCTGTGTTTAAGGCCGGCCACAACCATGTTCTATGGCCTCAGAGATCATATCAGCCATGCCCGATGAGTAAGAACGGCGTCGGCGGGGAGTGTGAGAAATATTTTCCTGGTACAGGGGATCCTCATCAGGAGTGAGGCTCCTGCCACAATCTGAATCATTCCCACTGTAGGCCAAAGAATCTATGCCCCTAGCCTCCTCGGGCTGCAGGATGGATGCAGCAGGAGAGAGGTCATCCTCCGAATCAGAAGAAAAGTCAAGAGGGGGACTGGAATGAATAGGCCTCTGGGCCTGGAATATGCGAGGCTCAGTGTGTTTGGTCTTGGACCTGGCCTTCTTAGCCTTCTTAGCCGGGGCCTGAGGGGCCCTGTCAACCTCCCAAGGAGATGGATCCTCCATGCCTCCAATTAGGCATTGGGTCCCTAATGGAGGCTTGGTGTTATCAGCCGGAGCAGGCCTGCACCTGCGACCCCAAGGAGTAGGGGGTCTGGTGATAGGGGCAGGGGCCAAGGAAGGTGAAGGCAGTTGAGGCTCCAGATGAGGAGAAGAGGCCATAGCCAGTACTCACAGTTCCTTGATCCAAAATGGCTGCCAGATGATTTTCATGCCAAATTCAACGGCCACTGAGGCTACAGAGATTATGAGCCAGCACCACGAGGTAGCCGAAGACTCGCGGTGAACGTGGGCGGGTTAGACCCTGCGGCAAGGTCAAGGAGCCAGGGATGAAGCCACGGACGTGCAGCGGTCTTCGGAGCGATGATTGGGACGGCAGTGAGGCACAGTGGCTGCAGCGGCATTTCCCAGTGGCTGGCAGCTCATTGCGACTTTAATGAGGCTCCCTGCAGCATTCGGAGGCTCCTGGAGGTGGCAGCGGCAGTTAGCAGCGCAGGTGGCAAGCAGAGGCCGGGAATTCTCCCGCAGAGGAGATCAGATCCTCCCTCGGCTATTTCAGCTAGTTCTGCTGAAATATGAAGCCTCAGAAGCCTGAAGACCTTCAAAGGCAAGCCTCTGATGAGACGGGGCAAGCACTCTCCAGCCCCCAGAGGCTATTGAGACCTAACAGGAACCCAGTTCAGAGATCAATTTAGAAAACAATTTCTGTTCTTAGTTTGAGAGAAATCCAATTAAATTATCCAATTATAAAGTATTAGTTGAGGAGAAAGCGATTAGCACAGCCAGTTCCAATCGAACTGAGTCTAAAAAAACAGGACCATGCTCCTCAGAGGTGATGACATCACTTTGGCAGACTTAGTTCTATTGGTTACTGACTGAGTTAACCCATGCATGACCGCTGTCTCCACCAACTTTGGAGAATGCTCTTCATCTAGGCTCTAACAGGATAGCATGTTGATCCTTACAGTAAAAGCTTTCTCTCACCAAAGTAATCCCACTTAATTTAGTTTTACCAGTATGTAAGTGATGAGTTATTACTGAATAAATGTTTAAGTCACAGGTGTCAAACTTGATCATGTCACATGACGTATCGTGACAATTTTTTGCCTTTGCAGAGCCAGAGTGGGCATGGCCTGCACATGACATATCTGGCCCTAGTTTGACACCCCTGGTCTAAGTGTTAAAATCAATCAAACGTATTAGTTCAATTTGGAATATGATCCTTGCCAAATTTCTCAACTTTCTTTATCCTTTTATTCATGTTTTGGACTAGGATTTAAATACTAATACTACTAACTTTGGCAAGCCTTTATTATTTCCTATTTGTTGTCTGCAGAATTCTAGTATTGCTTAATTGTCTCTCTAGCTTGTTTTCATCCTGTGATATTTAGATAGTTTAGAGATATAATAGTCCGTTGTATGTGTCTCTTCTGAATTTGTGTTCCAAGTTAGTTGTGAGGATGGGTGGGGAAGATAGGGTGAAAATAAGAAAAAGATATCTGACTGTCCACCATTGCTGGCCTTGAAGGACTTCCCACTTGGGATTCAATGGAATGTGCAGTCAACAGTGCTGCAGACCATTAAACACAGAGTTGAACAAAGAAAGTGTATCCCCCTGTGATTATATAGTAAGGGAAGTAAAAGCTGAATTTCTATATATTTCCACTGAGATTGCCAGGTATTTTTCCCCTTTAATCACAAATCCACTTTACACTGTGGAAAGCATCTTTATTCATTTAAAAGCCATTTATTTCACATTAACACCAACTCTCAGTTGAGTTGCCACGTTTCAGTCATCAATTTTATGTGGAACTGAGAAATCATAATTTTTTTTCCACAATGGACTATAATCTCAGAGTTACAGTTGAAGATGATATATAGTTCATTCAAGTGTTTTCACAGAGTTTTACATCCAACTGATTGGATTCTGCTCATTCTGAAGTTTTAAACCCATGGTAACAAAATATAAACTCTGGGTCATTTTAGATGGCGGCCAACAGCATTCCTTTGGCAGGAAAATGTCTATATTGCATATTTAATATTTTAATGCACAAATCAAGTCTCTAACTTTGGCTTGTGAGCACCTTGTGTTGACAATGTGAAGTAACAGACTAAAATAGTTGTTCATCTGATCCAGCTGAGCTTTTTCTTGTGTGAAAGAGAACACTTAATATTTATCCTATAAAAGCATCTATCTTTAGACTTTTTAAAGATTTTATTACTTTATTATTTTATTACCACATATATTACTTTTATAAATAACTCAGAACAGTGAAAATACATAATACTCTTTCCTCCTATTTTTCCTACAACAATCCTATATAGTGGCTTGACCTAAGTGTGAGTGACTGGCCTAGTCACTAGTTGGCATGACTGATAAGTCTCTCCTCCTTTTCTTAAGTTTTCTGACAAGTTATGAATCATACACTAACCTGCAAGGTTTAACCTGACCTACTTATCCATAGACCTACTTCTTTCCATAGACTGGAAGGAGGGGGATTTCCCTGTTTCTAAATAGTGAATATCTTACTTGGTATTTTTATATGTATTGATCTCTAGGAGACAGTATATACCTATGTTCAAAACACAATAATTTGTGACTCTGCTATTACACATTTGTTTGTTTCCTGGGCTCTCCATGCATTCTCAGAAGTCTTCTCCAATACCAATTTCAAAAGCATTAATATTATTTCTATCTGTTTCTTCAAAACCCAATTTCCATTTCCCCTTGCTTGCCCAACTCTGATATGGTGCATAGATTTATCTGTGTGATAATTTATAAAACCATTAAAAATTGTATTGTCACCATCAATTATCTTTCCTCAGAAACAGAATCTGAATTCCTTTGATCATTCATTACAAAAATAGATGGATATTTCTGTTATTATGAATAATTTTCAAAAGTATCTGTAATAAAAGAATAGTTTTAAAAGACTCTTACTATTTCTTTTCAAACTTGTGGTATTAGAAATTTGAGGAGATATGAGGATTTTCACAACAATTGAAATTGCAGAACTACCAAAGAACACAAATACAAATTTTCTTGTAGTAATGGAAACTTTTAAACAAGGTCCATGGATACAGCCTTCCACTCTTTTTATTTTTAAATAATGCTAATGGGTCTATTAGAGCCCCAAACCATCCTTGTATATAAAGATGATATTTGGATCTGGAATTTTTATTTTAAATATGCCAATTTGCTTGCTCATTTATTCATAAGGTGGTGAGAGAACTTAGTGGCATCCAGGTAAGTATGATGAAGTTCAAAGCACCAAATTAGAAACTCCAAGTCTCACTCCTAATATATATATACATCCATAATTAAGGGATCAATTTCTCCTTCACTATGTTGGCATAAAAGAAGTCTTAAAAGTTATTTTAACACAAGAGTACAAATAGGTTCTCATATAGTAACTTTCCAGGAAGATCGTTTAATATCACTCTGAAAACAAATACTTAAAACTAAATAGCTCAGAGGAAAAACTTAATTTAGGATTTGGACTCCCCCCTCCCCACCTTTAAATACACTGCTAGTTAAAGGCTAGACAATAACATAAATGTCTTTTCTCATATTATTTATTATTTTAGGCATTATTGAAGTCCAGCATCTACAATGGAATTCTTCAGACATCAATTAGAGATGCTAAAATGCAACAAAAATGTCAAAAAATTACTGATAGAAGAGTTCCAAATACAGGTAAGGCACATTGGTATCATTCAGACATTTTCAATCTTTTCTCTTCTTTTTAGCTTTAGATTTTAACAAAGCAGAGTGTCCATTTTCCTCCTCAAAAAGTTTTCTTTTCTTTTTCTTAGATTTACCATGATCACTATGGTAACCACTGGAGTCACTGGCATGCATTCCCACCTCTGCTCCATCTTGCCCATTCTCTGTCTCAGGCTTATCAAATATACCATGATCATCTTCATCATCACAATTATGCATTTCTCTGTCTTCTATCCCAACACTTGATATATCAACTTCCATCTCCTCTGAGCCAATATGTACATCACAATGTTTTTCATATTTTTTCTTGCATTTTTCCTTCAGCATCTCTTCTCCAAGACTAAAAATAAAAAAATAACTGAGAAAACAACTTTTACAAGACTAGTAAATACCTACAGTTATACAGAAGCAAAACACTGTACAGTTTATCCAAAGTGATTCATACTTGACTGTTTTAGTTGTAATAGTACCTTCACATCTAGATTATTCTTTATCTTTTAAATGGATTATCCTGACATATTCTTTAAATGGAAGATAGAAGTGTTAGCATAAACAGACATTTTGCGACACAAACCATTATTATTGGTAGTAGTTTTTCTACATTTATTTTTCAAATTCTGATAGATCTCACATAGTTTTCCATTAAACTTTTGAAAAATAAATGAGATCTTAAGACTTTTGTGATATGCTACGTAATAAAATAAACTTTGTTACGAAGCCTTACATTCTATAATCAAGCCATTTGTAAAAAATATATATGTATTACCTGTTTTTACAGAGTTTCCCTCGAATGCAGAATACTCCAGCAGCGTCTGAATCAAAATGCAGCACCTTAAATACCAGTCTAATACCTATTTGAAAACCAAAATTTTTCCATTCTTCTATTGATATGTGATCTGGTTTGGGGATAGAAGCATTGAAACATTCATGAACCAGACAGCCAATATGGCTAGGTGCCACTTTATTAATTATACCCTGGAGAAGGAAAAGAAAAAAAGAAATGTTAGCACCACATCACATGTTTTGGCAAAAACTATACTGTTGTTTCTGTCAATATTCAACATAGGTACATACCAAGTACAGTGGTACCTTGGTACTTGACGTTAATTGGTTGACAAGCATGATGGGAACTAAAAAATATGGGTGCCAAACAAAGCAGGTGACAAACCATTTATTTTAGCCATCTCCTTCTTCCTTTTGCAGTAACATACTAGCATGGGCAACTTCCTATCAGTTTTTTGCAACTATCCCCATCTTCTTTTGCAGCATGCAGAAACTACAAGTACTGGAACAACATTTTCACATCAAAATATATTGAGTACCACATTGAATGAGTTTTGAAGCAGTCAAATACCAAGGTACCATTGTACATGGAATTAGGGTGTATTCTTACACATTTTGAATGTTAAATATACACAAACAATTTATTTTTAATTTTTTAGGTGTCAACTGGTCCAATATCCTTTCATCCCAAGTTGAATCTAGTTCTGTTTTTGCTCAGTTGACTAATACTTCAGAAACTCTATAAATTGTTTTTCTGTAACGGATCAACAGTGGAACTAATTTTTAACAGTTACCAGTAAGAATGTTTCAAAAGTTAGGAATAAGATCATTTGATATTTTTTGTGAAACATTTTAAAAGATATTTTCATATAAAACAATTGGAGTGTTCGTTTAGCCTATTATTCCTACAATTAACTAAAGAACCATACTTGAAAAAGATCAAAGATTGTAAATATTATTATAACCTAAGAAATCACAAAATATAAAATTTAAACATGCTTAAGTATAATCAATTCTAATAAAAATTTCTTAAAGATTGTATAGAAAAATCTAAGATGGTATATGCTATTTATATATACAATATAAAGAGCTAAAGTGGCATAGTGGTAAATGTACTGTCCTAGAAACCAGGGGACTGTTGGTTCTTGATCTTCCTTATACATGAAAGAAAACTGAAATATTTTGGGCCAGTTCCTTTCTCTTAGCCCAACCACCCCCATGGTTGTTTTTGTAGGGAAAATTAGAATTAGTGTGTGTGTGTGTGTGTGTGTGTGTGTGTACACGTCGAATAGTAAGACCAGTAATGGTATACTGATCACTGGTCAAATTATGTTTTAATTATATTATTTATGCTTTCCTGTTTTCTTGACTATATTGTAAATTACTATTTACTGTTGATGTCATAATTATGGCAGAATAAATCCAATAAATAATTAAATAAGCACATGAACTTACTATATAAGTTTGTGATGAGAAGAACTGTACAAACAAAAGTACTGAGTTATTTATATACATACCACAAGTTTTTTCCCTGGCTTAGGCTGAAAGACAACAAAAGTAGCTTCTATATCCAGATGGATGGCCCCAATGTCATCAATTATATCACCCAATTCTTTAGTTATTTTAATATCATCATATGCCACAGGAACTCCTTGAAAACTACATGATAAAATAAATAAATAAATCACTTAGCAATATAATCAGCAAAAGTGTACCTAAGGTCTAGAAGAAACACTGTAATTATGATCCTTACCATGACAAAGCAGTTACAAGCAATTCAAATAAATGAAAGTTACACAAATGTAGATTTTATGATTCTGAGAAAAACATCATAGTTAGGAGGTCCCCCTAGTAGTGTACAATATTATGACTACAACACCATTAATTTATGAATTACTTAAAAATATACTGATTGAAAATAAATTTGTTCTGCAAGTTTCTCACATAATTAAGATGTTATACAAATGCCTTAATTAAAATGTGTTAATTACAAATCACTGCACATTGGAAAGCATCAAGAAGGATGCAACTGAGGTAACTGCTTAAATAAAAGCCACAGTATTAATTTAGGAAAGAGAGTAAATTCCTTACTTCCGTGAACATTCATTATCTCCGTTAGCCATAAAATAAACTTGGATGAGAATTTATTTTGTTCCCTCTTTATTCAGTGAACTTTAATTGCATATAAATGATTATTCCCTACCCCCACCACATTTAGCTCATGTTAGCTACCCAGACCTTAATCTTTGAAGCTCCTTAAAGCCATAAACCAAGATAGCCAATGATGCTCCTGCCAATAAAGACTTAATGGGTATTTTTGGAAAAAGGTTTTCTTAGCAATGGAATGTTCTTTCTACCCAAAGTTACTTTTTACAAAGTTTTTTAAACAAAGTTACCACTTACTAGTTACAAATGAGATACCAAAATTTTCACTCCTTCAAAAATGTTTAATTCAATCAACTAATTTTGGTTTTACATTTCTTAAAATTACATTTGCAGTATGGTTGCTGTATGTTTCACAACAATGTACTCTTTGGGAGCAAAAATAAAACTACAAGGACAAAAATATAGAATACAGAAATAAAAAATGGTGTTTATGCAAGTCAATCTTTAATTTGGAGGGGGGGGGAGGTGTTTCTGAATTATATTCTGTATTCTTTATAAGGTACTACCGTGAAAAGAACAGCAAGATGGGTAGCTATATATGGCGGTGGCTTATTAAAAGACTGGTTACACTGAAAAGCATGAAACAGCAAATCTGGGGGCTTTTTTTTGTCAAACATGTACAAGATAACGAGTACAGGTATGAATATAAACATGAGCAAAGGAACTAAATGCAGATAAATGGGGACAGTAAGACAGGGACGGTAGGCTCTTGTTTCAAAAGGCTGCCTACAAACTTTCTAATATAATAATATCCGTGGGGGGGAGGGGAGAAGGGGAATTTAATTTCTTTTTGAGAGGAAAATTTCAGGTTTCCCGAAATATTCTTTGAATTAGGTTCCTCGAGACCTGTATTGTTTTAGAACCGGGAAACAATAAGGCTAAGAAGGGAAATAGGAAACAACTTCTAGAAAGTTCATCGAACAACTCGCTTTCTCACCAGTTTATCCTTTAGAACCTGGAGTATTTAAACGGAATATTTTTTTACAGGCAATGATGGGAACGTACCTATCTGAGTAACGGCGCAGTTCAGCATCCAACTGCGCGCAAATCCCTGTCCGTTTGCGATTCAGGAAGCGCGGCGGGAGCGCGATATGCCTCCGGTGCGGCACCACCACAAGGCAAGAGTAGCGGTTCTCCGCCAGTACTCGCGCAGCCTCAAAAGAAGGCAGCTTGACGCAGGTGGGAAGGGGCGTCGGATCACTAGACGCCGCCGTTGAGATCACAACAGCCGTCTCAATCTCCGTCGCTTCCAAAGTCGAGCCGGCCTTCATCTCCGCCATGGAAAAAAAATGGATCACCCTTATGTCCCAAGGCGCCCTCTTTCCTTGCTGTCACTTGGTGATGACGTCATTACCATAAAGTAGGATTGTTGTTGGGTATTTTTTTTTTTTTTGCTGGTGCCAACCTATCAAATGGCTGAAAATAGAAAAGGAAAAGGGGCCCTTCCCTTTCCGGATGTGATTCAGCGGCCATGTTGTGTGTGGTGCCTTTTGCTTACCTACCATCTGCACGTGCAAGAGTGGAGACTTCCTCATCCGGTTCCCGAAGCCGACGGAGTTTCTAAACCAGGAGGTGGCGCTCTAACGGCTCGTATTGCGATGTTCGTGTTACTAGTCCGGAAGGATTTCTCCGGAAATGGATCTCGGGCAAAGACGGCCAGGTGGGGAAATCTTTGAGATCGCCAGTCATCTGGCTCAGCGCTGGAATTTTATTAAAGATTTTAAAACTTATTACACATAATAGAATTTTACACGAAAAGTTATAAAAAAATTATATGAAAATCTATTGTGACAAGTTTCTTTGCTAGAGGGACCGGTGGTCTGGTCTACTGATTTACTATCAGTGTTTAAATGGTTTCAGTTCTGGATGGTTAACAATTGGTGATGTACTGTCAAGTTGTTTTCGACTCTTAGCAGCCACATAGACAGATTTTGAAAAAGGTTCTGCTGCAAATAAAGTCCTTCCTTTCGCCCCCTTTTTTGGCCTTTAATGATCATAAATGGTAACTTGTATCATATAGTAGCTCATTTGTTTTTCAAATGTATCCTTCCAAACTTTTTGAGGGAATTTTTCTGTTAAAGTTGCAAAAGAAGAAATGTGACATGATTAATGTATTATCACTCTTTTTCTTTGATAATAAACTGTAAAACATAAAGGTTCCCCTTGCATGTATGTGTTAGTCGTTCCGGACTCTAGAGGGCAGTGCTCATCTCCATTTCAAAGGCGAAGCCTCTGTCCGAAGCTATCTCTGTGGTCATGTGGTCAGCATTGTTACCTTCCCACCAAGGGTGGTTCCTATTTTTTCTACTTGTATTTTATATGCTTTCAAATTGCTAGGTTGGCAGAAGCTGGGACAAATAACGGGAGCTCACTCCATTACGTGATGATAGGATTCGAATTGTCGAACTGCTGACCTTTCTGATCCACAAGCTCAGCATCTTAACCACTGAGCCACTGCATCCCTAACATACTGCACTAGTAAGTTATAATATGTAAGGTATGGGACTAAAACTTAGTAGACCCAACTTTACAACTGCTCCGGTGTGCTCAATAACCTTGTTAGCTATCTTCTTTGGAGTCCTGCATACTCTGTCATGACTGACCAATCATTTGGTTTCCCTGGGCCACAATGAGTGAAGAAGAATTTTCTTGGGCCGCATATAAAACACACAGTATACATAGATTGCCTCATCATCATCACCACTATCATTTTAGCCATTGTCTATCCACTGCAGGATGAAGGCCTCTTCTGCATGTTTTCAACCAATACGGTCCTGCATACTGTGTCATGACTGACCAATCATTTGGTTTCCCTAGGCCACAGTGACTGAAGAAGAATGGTCTTGCACAACATATAAAACACACAGTATATAATATAATTAATGTATATAAATAACAAACTTTCTTTATTGTATTTATTATCTTATTGGGACTACATTACTGAGCTGTATGCAGCCTGTAGGCTATCCTGTTCTATGTAGTTTTTGTTGTGAGAAAGATTATAGGTCACTTTAAACTCCTGGAGACAGGGTACATGAAACAAAATAAAAATACTTTTGTTATGCATTAATCATGAACTCAACTTGCAAATATTTATTGATAAATCATTGTCCAAGTTTTACCCACATTTGCTTTTTCATATACCTTGAAGCAGAATACAATAAAAATATTTACATTTGCAGTTGTTTCTCCTTCAGGAGTTCAATCCAGTATTATTTCAGGGGGTTGGGGTGGAACAGGAGATGATGAAAAAGGTACAAAATTTCATAAAGAGTTCCATTTGCCATTGTAGTAATTCAGATACTTTGAATGTCATCACACTTAAAGCAACCATTTCATTTAGCCTGTTACCGGTGTAAGCCCATTGCACATATCCAATTGATTTTAACTGAGCTTTAACTACCAGTATTAGTATTCTCAAACAATCAGCACCTGTAGCAAAATACTGGGGTTAAAAAAATGTTCAAACAAAAAATATATCAGCATTTTATCAATAGCAATAGACATATATCATTTCATGGTGCTTTGCAGCCCTCTCTAAGCAATTTATAGAGTCAGCATATTGACCCCAACAATCTGGGTCCTCATTTTACCTACCTCAGAAGGATGGAAGGCTTGAGCCTGGTGAGATTCTATCTGCCAAACTGCAGGCAGCTGGTGATCAGCAGTAGCCGCATGCATTCTAACTACTGCGACACCGCTGCTCTTTTAAGCTTAAAGTTACCGAATTTGCAATACAGATTATTATTAAGGGGCAATATTACATGGGAATGGAAATGAGCTGCTCGCATAGCAAGAAGAACTGATGGCAGGTGGACCAAGGCAATCAGAATAGATCCCACATTTAAAAAGAGACTTAAAACAAGATGGATCAATGAAATCAGCAAGAATTATGGGCCCAATTGGCAAAAGAAAGCTCAGGACTGTATTGGTTGGAAATGTGGAAGAGACCTTCATCCTGCAGTGGATAGATAATGGTTAAAATGGTGGTTATTATTTTCATTAACTATTTCAACTAAAATTGATTTTTAAATCAATTATTCTATCGCCCATATTTTATGTACTGGAAGGTGAAAATGACTAGATTCAAATTCACAAGCTCTAATTTATAATTTTATGATTGTGTAAACAGTAGTCTAATTTTTTTTATTCCTTTATTATTCTTTGCACTGTTTTTAAGTGTTTATTTTTCAACATTTGACTCTGGATGAAAAAAATTCTGTAATAAATGCAAGATTGGCATATTTGAATTGTTCATCTCTTTTTTGTAATTCAAATTTCTCTAATTTTTTGTGGATACGTAGATGAAATAAAACCTGTATAAGTAAATAAGCAAATAGCTGTAATTTAAGAAGGTGTCACTGGAGGGCATACTTGAGCCTTGGATGGATATTCAGTTCTTAGACATCAGTAAAGCATTTTCTACCATAATATCAAATTGCTCAATTCAACACTTCTGGAGAATGTTTACTAAATTCTGGACTGAAATATCTTCAAATGATTCTAATTGTTTGGACTTGTAGTCTAGGCTTTTGGAGAACAAAGATTTCTTAAGAAAATTAAAACACATTTACATTACTCACTTTGTTGATAATAATAGCATTTGGTAAGGCAATGTTGACATCCTAAAAGAACCTTTTAAATATTGTGAACTAGACAATCTGCATTTTCATTAGCATTTGGAAACTGAAAGCCTCTGAAATGTTATGTTTACTTATAAATATATTCCATAATCTGTCAGTTTGTTTTTCTATTTGAAATGATTCACACTCGAACTTTCATCAACTGTCAATGTGTTTATGCTTACTTAATGCACAAACCTCAAATGTCAAGAAGGAAAATCTATTGATTCTAATTGTTCTTCAAATAAATCTTAGTTTGTTCAGAAGATTTGTATCCTTCATTCTGATCACCATAATATTATTGGGTTTGGATTTTAACAGTAATTTTAAAAAATCTATGAAACATTAAAAACTTTATACTTGCTAAAAACTTTTCAGTAGGCATAAAGTTTTAACTTTTTAAAGGTAAATACAATCTCATCTGACTCTAGGGAGTGGGGCTTATCTCTGTTTTTTTAGCCAAGACAGACAGACCCAAAGGTCCTTTTTCACGAAGCAATTGGACTTTCTTGTTTTTCTTTTGAAGACGTTTCATTCTTATCCAAGAAGCTTCTTCAGCTCTGACAACAATTGAAGGATTTATATTCCTTTCAGACAACTGGTTATCTGCATCCTTTTTAGTGGGTTGTTGAAGCACTTGGAGGTTTATCTGTGACTTCAGGGTCATCTGAGTATTGCTCCTGGTCATTGTAGTCTGCAATTTTTCTTCTGGAAATCCATTCCTACTGCCACACCATTCAAAGGTATTCATCCCAAATTATATAGCTATCTCACTATCCATCCTGTCAGAACTGAAGAAGCTTCTTGGATGAGAAGCGAAATGTCTTCAAAAGAAAAACTTGCTTCCAAAGTTGATTTAGAACAACCATGACCTGGATGACCGAGAATCTTTACAGACAAGGCAGACAGAGTTGTCCAAAGATAATTGGTTATATGGCCAGGATGACTGTATTCTGAGGCACACAGAACACTGTTACTTTCCTACTGAAGTTGCACCTATCTATCTACCTGCATTTGCATGCTTTTTGGAGCTGGGCAAGTAACGGGAGCTCATCCCTTTAAGTTTTTTAAGTGGGTATATGTTAAACCAGCATCAAATTACCAGACCTTCTTACTGGAATAAAAGAAATGCACATAGGCAATGAAAAGTCAAGAAACAGGAAAATAAATGAATAAAAATAAAAAAATAAATGAGGAGTTTTTTGTGTTAGATATAGTTACAAAGAAGCTCTCTTATATTCCAGAGAACATATCTGTATTCCCAGAGGTGAAAAGTAGGCCACCCTTGTAAATCTTAACTATTCCTTTTATTGCCTTCTGTAATTACAGTATTTAAGTGCCTCATTGTAGTATCAGATCAATACATAACACATATATAATACATTCACAATCTTTAACTATAAAATTATAATTTTGTAATATAAATTGCAGTAATTGCTAGAATATGAAAAAAAAGAGATTATCCAAATTGGGACTGATAACTCCATTATTAAGTAAAGTGGTCACTAGATGAAACTGACTTGAATATGATATTTCAATTTTTTGTTCACAGCAAGGATTGGTTATAAAGTTACTTTTGCATCATTAGCATAACTGCAAATGTTCTCTAAATGAGGCAGTCACTTAACGCTGAAGGTTGCCAGTACTTCAGGCAGTTAGCTTGGCCACCTACAGTATTAGTGGAGAGAAGCACCCAGGGTCA